GAAAGAGAGGCAAACCTGCGGCTCCACAAGTATAATTATAACGTAACATAGACTATATCGATATAAACGATATTGTCACATCTTATATCTCGTATGAAAATATATCGATATTTTTAAAAAACTCGATATATCGCCCAGCCCTACCACAGTGTTTATTATTTATGTGTGTTTTTTTTTTCTCTTTGGAAGTTGTGGACCACAGAAATGCAGTGCATGCATCAAAGAAGACCTGTTTGAGGAACCCACCTCGATCCTTAAGCAAGGTGGTGTAAGTACATTTTATTACAGTTCCACTTTATTAGCATTTTTAGCAGTTTTCTTAATAGAGTTTGGCCTGGTTTGGAATTTTTATAAAGCACTGTAATGTCATGGTCATTGTTTCTGTTCAAATCTAATGGCCTGCAGTTTAGATCCAACACAACAGAAACTTTGTGACTGCTCTGTAGGTCTTAGCAGTAACAACAATAGATGGAACAGCTATAGCCATTTTATCCTCTGACCATATGTCCTGAATCTCCCTGAAAAATGCAATTGGTGCATCCTGGCTTAATCTGAACTGAAGATGCAAACCAAACAACACTGACAACAACCTCCTTTTTTTCCCACCCAGGCTTTCCCTGACAATGCAGCCCGCAGAGAAGTGGAGGCCTTGGCAGCTGTCTGTCCCAATGAAGGATGCATATGGACTGGAACTGTCAAAGAATTTGAGGTGATTTCAATCAATCAATCAAAGCTTTATTCGCCACATGCAGGTTGCCCTGCAGTGAAATGGGACCCCCCCCCGACCTTACACACACAACACAGACATTACATGGGGATACAAGTCGGAGATTGGTAGCGTTACAGAAAAAACACTGAAATTTACACTACAATGGGAAAGTACAGGAGGAAAAAAAGAGACCTCTACTCATGCTGTACTTCCATGGTAGGATAGCATGAGAACAGGAAACAAAAAAACTCCTCTGCACAAAAAGCACCTAATGTCCACAGCACAACATCGTGACAGTCGTTATCAGGGAGTGTTTGTTCGGCTCCGGCCTTGAGCCCACAGCTGGCGTCGAAGGGGTAGCCGCATTATAATGGTGATTTTTCTTTTACAAACAACTCATGAGAATTTCAAGCTGTTTTTAACACTGCGACACCGACACTGGTCTCTCAATCTCCCGTTGGATAGCTGCGAGTTTCTTCATGATGTTATTTACCTTCAATTCTGTGGTCTTTTCAGTCTTTTGCTCACAGAGCAGATTCTGAGACCTCACGACCGCAGCCAACTGATCCGCGATGTAATCCAGCTTCCGCACAGAGGTGTTGTTCCGAGTGGATTCTTCCCTGATGTAATCCAATGTACGCTCAGAGGTACTCAGTGAGCCTTCACTGCAGCCGTTAGCGCCTCCAAGCTCTTAACCATGCTGCATTCAGTGAG